GCCTCTGGAGTCATCAAATCCAACTTCTGCCCTGTCAGCATCCTGTCAGCCTACAAGTCGTTTCTTTGAACACCTCCATGGATGATGACTCCACCACCTCACTGGGCAGCCTGTGCCAATATCTAATCACGGTCCTAATGTCCGTACTCTGCAGCCTGGACAGAGGCTGAAGGCAGGGTCACCAAGCTGTATGCTTGGACGGGCCCTCTGTAGATCACCCAGCCCAATGCCCCTGGCAAGGCAGGTGACACAGGAGTGTGTCCAGGTGTGTTTGGAATGTCTCCAGACAGGGACACTCCACCGCCTTCCTGGGCAGCTTGTCCCAGCGCTCTGCCACCCTCACTGGGGTTCTCTGAAAGCACAGAGTCACAGGACAATGGTTCAGGTTGGAAAGGACCACTGGGGTCACCCAGTCCACCCCCCTGCTCCAGCGCAGTCCCCTGAGTGTGGCACTCAGGGCTGTGTGCAGAGGGCTTTTGGGGGACACCCACACCCTCTCTGCAGCCTGTGCCAGTGCTTGATCACCCACACAGTGAGGAAGTTCTTCCTCATAGAATTATAGGATGCTTTGGTTTGTAAGGGACCTTAAAGATCTTCCTATTCCAACCCCCTGATGTGGACAGGAATGCACACACTAGACCAGGCTGCTCAGAGCTCTCTCCTGCCTGGCCTTGGACATTTCCAGAGATACAGCAAAGATTTTCTGGGCTATCTGTGCCAGAACAACACCGCTTTCACAGCAAAGGTGTTTTGCTAATATCTCATCTAAACCCGCTCTTTCAGTTTGAAGCAGTTCCCCCATTTGTCACTACAAGTTCATGTTCTAAGTCCTTTCTGCATCTTTCTGTCCGTTTGGGTACTGAAAGGCCACAATTAGGTCACCCCGAAGCCTTCTCTTTTCCAGGCTGAGCAATCCCAGTTCTCTCAGGTGCTCCACCCCTCCATCTGATTTCTTTTCTCTGGGCTTGCTCCAACAGGCTTCTGTCTCATTTTTGGGTGGAACTGCCTGTGCTCCAGTGTGAAATTGAACCCTTTAGTGCAATACAACACTCCAGCCTCTCATCCCATGGCTCAGCACCACTGAGGAGGGCCTGGCTCCAGCCTTTGACACCCTCCCTCAGACACTCAAAAACGCAGTTCCCTGCATCACTCCTCCCATGTCTCAGCTGTAGCTGTGCATCCTGCTGCTGCCCCAGCTGAGCTCTGATGTCCCCTGTCCCCTCACGCACGTTCTCAGGGCTGCGGTCTGTCCCCAGCAGGCCACGTTAGCAAGGCAGCTCCGGCATCTGCCGTGCTCTGTCCAGCAGAGCCTGAGCAGCATGAAAATTCAGTGTGTTTTTCACTGGCACCCTCAGCCCTGCCAAATCCCTTCCCCGTGAGGGTGTAAGTGATACAGCACTTCCTGGTGCCCCCATGGCAGGCTGCCTGCGCCATCTGTTCGTGTCACTTTGGTCATTAACCAGCGCGGCCCGCGGGCTTTGTCTGCTGACAGTGATGAATGGCAGCACCGCTGCCCACAGCACGGCCCTGCCCTGTGGGCAGGTAGCAGGGGGATGCTGTGCTCTTTGCATCCATAATCACACCTGGGATTTGCAGGACCAGCGCCTGGATGAGCTGAGGGCTGGTACACCCAAATCCACGCTTGCCTGACGGAGCTGGAGGAAGCCATGGTGGGGAAGAGGAGCCAGAGCTGGCTGCAGTACAGGCCTCCACTGCAAGCCAAATTTCATTTCAAGTTGCTGTGGCCCTACAGAAATGGCATGGCATGTGCTGGGGCTGTGTGTGCGTCACAGAATTAGCCAGTAAAGGTCAGCTGCAATGGAAGAGGGGCATAAGGCTTTGTGCAGTTTATGGAGATAAGCCAGAGCCGGGAAGTTGGGCTCTGGGTTTCAGACAGCTTCGTGCTGTGCATGTGGAGAAGGTGACAGAAAGGGGAACAGAGAGGTTGGGAATGGCTCCTTCTTAGATTTATAGTTCATTTGTATGGCCTGAATTTATTAAGCCTCCATTCTCTTCCCCTTTCTGTGGAGAAAATCGTAGCTGATCCTCAGGTTCAGCCCTATGTTTACAAAAGACTTTTCAACCTCCGCTGAGGTTGCTATGGAAATCACACTAGTTTGTGTCTCGTGTTTTTCTTACCAACCTGATTTGTAAAAGAATGGTGTGAATTTAGTGCTGGCTGAGTTCCCAGCTGGCCGCTGGTCCTGGAAGGCATCCTTGCAGTCTCAGCCCTGGCTGGAGCAATGCAAACAGCTTCCTCCACGCTGTCTGCCAGCTCCTGTGCCTGCGGCTCTCCCAGCCTTGGGTCGTCTTCAGCACACCAGGACAGAAACCATCCAGTGCCAGGCTGGACTCAGCCCTGCCAGGGAGACACCAGCTCTGTTGCAGAGGCCACAGCAGGTCCCCTGTCCCCTCTCAATCACCGCAGACTGTTTTACAAAGCAGAATTGCTGCAAACCAATTGAGTTTCCTTTGTGCTTAGTCCTAAGCACAGCTAATCCCTAACGTTTCACCTGTTTCTTCCTCCAGCCACTTCTCCAAACGCCCAGCTTCTCACAGCAGGGCTGTAAATGATGAGCTGCCAGGACTTGGCCCTCCTGTGCCAGTCCCCATGGGAGGAAGGCAGAATGGCAGCCTCAGGAGTGCAGGGAGCAGCTGAACTCACTTGCCCAGAGCAGTGGCTTGTTCCAGCCACAGCTCACAGCCCCAGGAAACAAACAGGCAGCTGCCTGTCATCCAAAACCGTGGGGAAAGAGACCTTGGGAACATCTCACTCTCAAGGGAGTTGGTGTAGACTCTGGATGCATTCTGCACAATTTACTTTTAAAAACTTTGGGGAGGGGTGCAAGACAGTTACTTAGGTCATACAAAAATAGAAAGTATTTCATCAAAATACAAAGCCCACAGAATCAGAGTGCTGGGCTGGGTTCTGGCCAGGACTGGGCCTACTGGGGTCTGTGGATTTGCATTAGAACAGCATGGTGTTTTCATAGGTCACTTGGAACAAAACTAGGCTTCTTTATCAAAAAAGCTCATTTGTGTTTCTGAGGAGTTCTCCTACTTAAAGGGATCCTTCTGGAAGCACTGCAATCCTTTGCTGAGACAGAACCTGCACATCAGGCAGGAGCAGCCATGGAGCTCCAACACCCACGTGAAATGTGGGCAGCTGCTGCTGAAATCCCTTTGCATTTTTGTCCTGTTCATGGTATGTGCCAGGGCACAGCTCAGCACCAGCACTGCTGCAGCCCAGCCCAGCATCCCTGCAGCCCTGTCCTTCTCCAGCCATGGGCAGAGGGCACTGCTGGCATGGAATCCAGCCCACACGCTAAGGCTGCTTTCCCCTTGATTCACCATCAAATCTCTGCATTCGATGCTGTTTTGTCCTGCTCCTGCCCTTCCAGACACCCTGTGAAAGGAAAGGGATGTTTTCCAGCAAGACTGATGCTGTAATTAGTCAATTTGCTAATAAGCTGAGGTGTGAATGGCTTTCTGTGAGCTAGGAGGAGCAGCTGTCCTGCAGGCACAGCCCTCAGTGTCACCTCCCCAGCTGCCCAGCTCCTGATGGATGAGCTCTCCAAGAGCGGTGAAAAGGCTCTGGTGACTTTTGGGGAGGGAATGTTTTTGTGAATGGATCATGACACAAGCATGGCCTGATTACCGAGCTGAGCAGCTCCCTCCACCCCCCCAAAAGCCATGTGTTAGCTGCGTCTGTCACTGCTTAGCTGTCACAGTACAGTCTGGGACAATGCTCCAGTTTTCCCAGGGGATTCTCAGCAGAAAAGAGCACACTAGAAAGACATACAACGTCAGAGCGTGAGGCACACTCACCCAGGAGAGATGAAGGCAGAGGAGGGGGAATGACAGGCCATGGGGAGCTGCTGGGAGATGCTAGCACAGGCCTTTAGCATGGGAGGGGCATCTCCACAGCCCAGGGCTGCTCATTCCCAATTACCCTGCTGCTTGGGGGATGCACCAGACAAAGTAAATAACAGACTGGAAGGAGAGGAAACCTTGTCCTCCACAGCCTGGACCCACCCTCCTCCTCCTCCCTCTGCTCAGCAGAGAGAACTCTCCTCTCCCTTCCTCCTCTCTTCTCACAGCAGGCAGAGACAGACCCAGCCTGGCCCCAGCTGCCCAGAGATAGCAATGAGGTCTGCACACATGAGACATGACAGCATCTTCCCTCTGTTTTTACTTTTTTTTTTAGGTATCAAATCCAGCAAAGCCCAAAGCTCTTGCTCACATGCTGTTTTTGCAAGTGATTTTATTTTAAAACCGGAACTCGAGTTCTCCATTTGTTTAACAAGTCCCCCCCTCCCCTTTCTTTTTTTTAAATAAAATTAATTTATTCTACACAACAGTAAACTCTTCCAGACTCTTCCCTATTTACAAATTAACATTTTTTGCTTGCAGATCATTGCTTCCCCCTCATTTTCCTATCCTGTGACACAGAAAGTGAGAAACAAAGGCAAAATCTGAAGGTCTGTAAGGCAGTGCTCCCCTCCAGCCTTTTGGATCCCACCCTTGGGGCCTCAGTGAAGAACCAGAGTGATGATGTCTGTCAGGTCTGGAGATCTCCCCTCACCCACCATGTGTGCTAAACCCACCAACTAAGAGCATCCAGCCTCTCCCTGTGTTGTAGCTGGGCTGAGGAAGGGGAAATACCCTCAGCAGAACAAACTGCTCCTGCTGCCCTCTGAAGGGACATGTGTTTGGGGAGAAGGTGGCAACTGGCTGCAGGAATGGGATCCACCAGGATCGTCTCACACATCCATGGGCCAGAAAGGCAGCTCTCACATCACAGGAGGAGGCAAGGAGCCTTGGAGACACCTCCCCTCTCCTCTTGTGAGTCAAGCACTGGGGACACGCTTTGCTAGCTGAGGAAAGAAGGCACCTAATAAATAAAAATTTGGCCCAACCCAATTCCAGGCAAATTCAAGTTTTTGTTTTTGTTGTTTTTTTTTTTTTTTTTTTTTTTTTTGGTTGTGGCTCGGCTTGTACATCTTTAAACTAAGTGGTAACTTCTATCTGGGTATGGTAGGGTCTGCTCTATCTGGAGACCTGTCCAGACCCTCCAAAGCCACCTGGCTCAGGTCCTATGAGCACTGTCACTCCTGTCACTGCCACATGAGCAGCCAGGAGTCCTGGTGCTGGGTAACACAAGCTATGTCAGCCAAACCAAGGGGGTGTGCAAACACACACCCTGCCCTTCTGGAGGATCTCCTACCCCATGAGGCACAAACCATCCTCAGGGCTTCCATGACCTGTTGGAAAACAATCAGTGTAGTGTTTCTATTCCTGGGAGCCCAGCCAAGGAGGAATACCTGCTTTTACCTGCAAATCAAAGCTGTTTCTCACCTCTGGACACAGCCCCTGGCCTCTGCCTGACCCCCTGAGACATCCTGAAAGACCAAAAACTGATGCAAAGAGGAGGTGCTGTTGTATTTTCCAAGGTTTGCCTTGAGCAATGGAAAATATTGCCCAGCTGTGGCAGAGAGCAGGCAGAAGGCTGATACCCTTGTGAAGAGCTTAGGTTTTGAAAAATCAAGGAAGAAAGGGAGGATGGAAGGGTTATCCAGGGATTCTCTGTTAGTACAGCAAGGAGAGTAAGGAAACAAAGGAACAGAAAAGGCAAGACAGCAGGAAAACCCTTCCTTGAATGCAATTCATTAAGCTTTGGACAAAAACCTTCTTCTGTCAGAGGGTAGGAAACACGTGCCCCAGAGGGAGCCCAAAAGCCAGCCCAGATAAACCCTCAGGCCTCTGCAGCAGCACCCTCTCAGTGCTCCATGTGTGTGAGAAGAGTTTCTGCATGGACATCTGACACATTTCCATGCTCATCCCAAAAGTCCCTCGGCAGCTGGTTTGCAGGGCAATGGTGCCAGAAGGATGCTGGCCATGCTGGGCTCTCGCCCCACAGGGGACATGCCAAGGTGCTTTGGCTGGAGGATGGAGCCTGTCACAGCTTCGGGTGCCATCCCACAATGGTCACACCCAGGAGGAGATGCAGGGAGCCCAGCTCAGCCCTGGGAAAGCTCTTGGTCCGGAGGGAAGGAGAAGAGGCTGCAAGCTCTAAAATGGCACTGACTCTTTCAGCCTCCCACACCTCCAACACTACCCCAACCCTGGGGCTGGCGCCAGGTCCAGCTGGGACATTACCCACCGCTGACACAGCTCCCAAAAGCAGCAGGAGCGAGGAGGACATCCCGGCTGGGTGGCTGGTGGTGGCAGGAGGAGGTGGTGAGGCCGGTGCAGCGGCGAGGGGCACGGCTGCCCCGCTCCCCGCACCATGCAGCCCCACACGGGGGCTCAGTAGAAGGAGTACTGGTTTTCCACCGCCCGGGTGCGGCTCCGGGCGCTGTCAGCCTCGTGGTAGTCCTCGGCACCGGTGGCAGGAGGCTCCGGCCGGCGCTCGGCGCTGTCGCTGCGGCTCCGGGGGCCCAGGGCACCCTCCAGCCGGTGGTAGGGTGCGGGCACCGGGACAGTGGGGGTCACGGCCACCCCCTCAGCGGGTGTTGGCACCGGTGGGCCTGTGGGTGCTGTGCTGCAGAAGTAGTGTGGAGGTGGCAGGTCGACCCGGCAGCTGGGGGGCTGCGACACGAGGGGTGGCGGGGGGCCGGTGTCTGCAAGGGAAACAGGAGCTTGAGCCCTCCGGTGCTGCCTGTGGGCTCAGCCCCCTCCCTCTCCATCCCTGACCTGTTCTTCTCCAACCCTCCTTCCCACGATCTCCCAGCATAGCAGGATGCTCCAAGCCTGCAGATGTCTCTGCTCCTCTCCTGCCCGAGCCAGGGCACTCGGACCCACAGCCAGGGACAGGGTCACACCGACACAGCCCTGCTGCTGCGTGGGCCTCAGTGCCCACCTCGCACCCACCCTGGCACACCTCCAGAGCCACACACATCAGCAGGGCACTGCTTTAGGGACGGAATCCCATGGATCTGCCTTTTTTAGGGACAAGATCTCAGCCCTCCCTGCCCAGCCCTGGCACCTACCGGGCTGTGGGCTCTGGGCCACCACGTAGCTGCGGAGGGTGATGTCGGCCGCGCCGCCCGACTCCAGCGGGATGGGATGCGTGTGGAAGTGGCGCAGCATGTCAAAGATGGTCTGGAACCAGAGGTGCTGCACGTGGCACTGCCCGCTCTCGTTCAGTGACAGCCGCAGGTGCTGCAAGTGCAGGGGACAGGGCGTGAGCTGGGGGTCGTGAGGGCGAGACCCACCCCTGCAATCTGCAGGCGCCACCTCCATCAGCCAAGGGAGGTTTCCTCCTAACAGGATTGTTGTGTTTACTCTGCTGCAGGGGGTTTCCTGTAAAACCTCACTTGCTGCATCGCCAGGAGCAGTTTGACCCCTCCTGGGAATGAACACCATAAAGAAACACAGAGAAGGCTGTTTGGGTATAACCAGAGCAGCTGAAGCTCTGATCCTGGGGTCACAGATAGCCTGGGAAAGCCTCTAGTGCACCTGAAATACTTCTTGCAAGGTCACAAGAACAGGCAATCTCTGCTAGAAAAGGGACCCAGCAGAAAACTGCTTGTGGTTGGTTTTTCATAGTGTATCTGCATACTTCAGGACACAGAACACACATGGAGAAGGCAGGGGAAGTTGTGCCAGGCTAAGCCCCCATGGGTATTTATCCATATGCTCACATGACAGGCACTGATCCAGTTGGGAAAGTAGAAGGATGCAGAGGGGTCTTGGGGCACGAGGGCAGGTGGTCCTGAGGAATGTCCTGCTGGGGGTGCAGCTGCCTGCAGAGCTGCTGTATTTGGGTTCACCCACAGAACAAGAAGGAACCTGAGGTTCTGGGCAGAGCTTGCACTAACATTCACAGAGAAGCAGAGGACACGGAGAAGCAGAGGGTGCCCACCTTGGCTTTCCCCTGGAAGTTGAAGGTCAGCACATACTCCCCTGGCCGCGTCTCGCTCTGCCGGATGACGAACAATCCGTGGCTGCGGGCGCCCCCGAAGAGCACCAGCTGGGCTGCCTTGATCCGTGACAGAGTCCCATGGAACCAGGGGAAGTCAGACAGGTTGATCTCTGCCTCAGCCTCGCTGTCCTCCCCTGCCCGCAGGGACAGCAGGTTTTTAGGGAGCACCTGAACATCACCCCCTCTCCTCCTGCCCCCTCCTCCTCTCCCTCTGTGCACCTCCAGAGTGAGATGCTGGGGCTGCATCCTGCATCCCAGTACCTGTGAGGTGCCCACCAGCGGTGGGGGAGGATTCCAGCGTCTGCAGGAAACTTTCCAGTGGGACGTGGGTGAGGAGCTCCCCCAGGGAGTCCCTGCCCCGGCTGTGGGGCACAGGGACAGAGGTGGCCATGGCAGTGTTGTGAGCGCTGGGCAGGGCACATCTGTCTGGTGGCCTGGGTACCTCTGGAAGGGAGATTGCAGAGGGATGAGTTCATGGCTCAGCATCACTCACCATCACTGGGCAAAGCTGGGGGCTGTCCTGCCCTGCAGGCAACTGCATAGGATACCCCTGGATCTTAAGAGACACATGAGGGCTAGGCTATGGCTCTGAGGGACTCCCAGACATTCCCAGATGTAGCTCCTTACCATCATTCAGGAACTCACAGCTGGACGAGGTTGTCCTGCCTGGAAGACAGGGTCCTTGTGCACAGGACACCAGCTCAATGTCATCCCCACTGTCCCTGGAGGAGAGCACAGACAGAGACACACACGTGTGGCACCTTCGCTCATTGGCATGGAATGGGGATTCACAAAATTCCAGTGTGATCCAAGAGCACATCCTATTGCCCCTGAATTCCTCCCAAGGGGTTGCCACTGCACCAAGACCATTGAGAGGCAGAGCAGCCACCAAACATGACTTTTTGAGGGTGAGAAACCAGCGTGGGAGGGATTAAACCCTTGAAAGCCCACACTGCACGGGTCATGCTGGTCGGTTCCAGCTGCAGGATTTTGCTGCAGCCTTGTGGGTTTGGAAGGAAAGCTGTTACCCTGACTCTCCCTGCTTTGTTTTGCACCCACACACCTTCCCATCCGAGGGCGCTTTCACTTTCACCCTCTGCAAAGGGAATTACCCAACCACGGGAATGACATCCCTAAAAGACACAAAACGCTAAGTCAGGAAGCCTGGAGCAAGGCAAGCAAGTGGGAATAGAGCCAGGGAGCCACTCAGAGCATCCCTGTTGCCAGCCCTCCTCGTGCACTTCAGCACCCTTCTTGCACAAGCATCCAGCTTGCTCCACATCCTATTTTTATCCCAGCCACCAGCAAGAGTCTGGAGCTGCCCACAGCACTCGGCTGCTCTTGCTTCACACGGGCCACGTGGGCACAGGCAGAGGGGACGCGGCTGCTGAATTATTTAGTGGCCAGTGAGTGAATCAGCCATTGGGAGTCATTCAGCTGCAGCCAGTTAAAAACAAGAAGGGAGGAAGGAAAGCAAAACCAACGGCGCTCTGCAGAAAAGCCGTCGCTGGGCGCTCACGCGGCGGCTCCAGCACGCAGCCCTTGGCAAAAGCACGGGGAGCTGATTGAGAATTCGCTCTTGGCACCGAGCGTGTGTGTCGGTGTATTAAACAGCTCATTACTATTTGCTCTGGAGTTCATTATTATTTGCTTTACAGTCACGTCCGGAGGCCAGAGCGGGACGGCGCTGGGCGCTAAGCAAACAGAAAGGGCTGGGAGGCTGCCGGGGCAGGGCGAGGGGCTGGCGTGGTGAGGCTGGCGGCTCGAGGGGAGCACGGCCGTGGTGCTCAGCTCCAGCTGGAAAAGCAGCACTGAAACATGGAGTGAGGGGAAAAAAGGCCTTTTCCCAACCTCACATCAGCAGCCCAGCCTCAGCAGTGCTTCTGCACTTACAGAATCACAGAGTGGTTCAGGCTGGAAGGGAATTTAAAGCTCATCTCGCTCCTGCCATGGGCAGGGACACCTTCCACTAGCCCAGGTTGCTCCATGCCCTGTCCAGCCTGGCCTTGGACATTTCCAGGGTTGGGGCAGCCACAGCTGCTCTGGCAATCCTTGCCAATGAATTACAGATTTCAGAAAACAGCAAAAGGAGCAAAGATGCAGCAGCGCATCCTCTCTGTGAGGTGCAGCCTCCATGGTGACCAAATGCCTCTCTCTAGCAGGAGGGGGCAAAGGCAGCCTGGAGGGAGGAGAAGCCTTTCCAAGCCTCTGTTCCAGGTTTGCTTGATGTTTTCACTGCTAAAAGCATGGGCACCTGGTTTTTCCAAAGCTGTGCCAAGAAAGGCAGTGCCAGGGTTTCCCCAAGGCTGGGCCTGTCTGAGCCAGCTGAAGGGCAGCAGCACCAGGCACACAAACCTCCCTAACACAATTTGCTGCATGTGCTGACGAAACAGCAGATGAGAAGTTTTGGCTGAGTTATGACTCCAGTGACAACACTGATGCCACTGTGATATAAATACAAATAAATCAATTCAACTGGCAGAATCTTAAATATATCAGGGATGTTCAGCTGGAAAGAAAACATGGAAAATAGCTCAAATATGGTATAAAAGCTTCAGAAGGTGGGTGTTAGGATGTTCCTGCTTTGAGGCTGCATTTCCAGGTCACCTGCCTCTGCCAGGCTGAGGGGACATGGGACAGAGAAGGGTGAACAGGTAGCCAGTGCTCTGCACCCCTGGCAAACACAGGCTGCTATCTCTGCCTCCAGACCTCTGCTGGTGTGAGCTAGGCACTTCCCAAGCAGAAAAAATTGCATCTAGGTAACAGCCTGTGCTCAGGCACCACAGCTTGGCCCCACAGAGCCCCTTCCCCAGCAATCCTTACCCAGGGTCGATGCAGTCCTGGATATCAGCCACCCACGAGTGCTTCTGCAGGGAGTCGATGGTCTCCAGGATGTACTCTGCCCCGTTCTCCACCTGCAGGCCATGTGGGATGCAGTCAGCTGTGCCAGGGTGCTGCCCCCCTCCCCGAGGCAAAACACACCCACAAGCCAGCCAGACTCCCTGAGCAGCACCCCAGCTGAGCAGGAGAGGATCAGTGTCCCACCCCATCCCAGCACAGGGGTGCTGAGGGTGACCCAGAGGCTCAGTGTCCCACCCCAGCACAGCACAGGGGTGCTGAGGGTGACCCAGGGATCAGTATCCCACCCCACCCCAGCACAGAGGTGACCCAGAGAATCAGTGTCCCATCCCAGCACAGAGGTTACCCAGAGGATCAGTGTCCCACCCCACCCCAGCACAGGAGCGCCAAGGGGTGATCCATAGGATCAGTGTCCCACCCCATCCCAGCACAGGAGTGCCAAGGGGTGATCCACAGGATCAGTGTCCCACCCCACCCCAGCACAGGAGTGCCAAGGGGTGATCCATAGGATCAGTGTCCCACCCCATCCCAGCACAGGAGTGCCAAGGGGTGATCCACAGGATCAGTGTCCCACCCCATCCCAGCACAGGAGTGCCAAGGGGTGATCCATAGGATCAGTGTCCCATCCCATCCCAGCACAGAGGTGACCCAGAGAATCAGTGTCCCACCCCAGCACAGAGGTTACCCAGAGGATCAGTGTCCCACCCCACCCCAGCACAGGAGTGCCAAGGGGTGATCCACAGGATCAGTGTCCCACCCCATCCCAGCACAGGGGTGACCCAGAGGATCAGTGTCCCACCCCATCCCAGCACAGGAGTGCCAAGGGGTAACCCACAGAGAAGAATCCAAGATGACCCCTGACCAAGTCTGGAGCTCAGAGGAAAACCCCATCCCACTGTTATCAGCAAATACATTGCAAGTTTTTTACAAGGTTTTTACAGCCTCTATGGAAAAAACACACCTAGCTGGCAGCATCGGGGTACATGGCATTATGCCCAAGCACAGACAGCATCCCTCGCTCCTGGGGCACCTGTGTCCCCTCAAAACTAGCTCTGCACAGGTACAGCAGAAGCCACACTGCTCTCTGCCCCAAAACCCTGCCAGATGTCAGGAGTTTAAAACTTCTCCTCCATTATTTGTTCTGCCTGCTGGTCCATGAGGCCTCTGATTTCTGATTGCAACAGAGTGGGAGAGAAGCCCCCTTTCACAGGTGAGGGGAAAAAAAAAATAGGACACAGAAGAGACTCCAAACTGTCCAGGCCAAAAGGAGCTGTGCCTTTCTGGGTCTGGGCAGAACCCAGAAGCTCCACATCAGTGGACTCAGATGCCCTGAGATGCTGTGTGCCTCTGGCAGCTTTCCCTGCATCCCTTCTGGAGCCTTAAACATCATGTTCCCGAGGTGGCAGAGCAGCCCTGACTCCAGGAGGGTGTCGCACTGCCAGCTGAGACAACCTCCAAGCGAATTAAATTAATCACAAACAACTGAATCACCATCCTGAAAATAAGCAGGGAGGGCAGAGAGCAGAGCCCTGGCTGGGGCTGAGCAGTGAGCTGGACCCTGTCCTGAGCAGAGGTGGAGGGGAGTAGCAAAGATCCTCCTCTCCAGTTTGTTTAACTTAAGAAAGGCTCTTGTCTGTTTTTTTGAGGCATGAAGCTGATGTGGGAGATGGGGCTGCTCACTCATGCAGAGCATGAGAGCAAGCAAAGCACGTGCAGGGCTTGGGTATTTTGCAAGCACCTGCTTGTGCAATGGAAAAAACTGCATGTGTTTGGTGTCTGATGGGCTCTGGGGACATGCTGGCTGCTCATTTTTAGGCAGGAACTGTTTCAGTGTGGTCTCCCCAAACACGGCAGGGGCTTTTTTACCCATCATAACCTCCCTAAATGAGGCAGGGCTTTTCCACCCATCATAACTTCCCTAAATGAGGCAGGAGCTTTTCTACCCATCATAACCTGTGTGTTGTGTGTGAAGACTGAGATTGGGCTCCACATCACACAGAAAGGGAAACCACAGCACCCAGCTTGCACACCTAACCTGCACGCCAGGACCGAGGGTGCTTCACCCCCTCTGCAAGTCCAGCCAGCAAAGGGGGAATGGGAGAGCAAAAAGAAGGACCCAGGCAGAAAATGAAGCACAAATAATAGTGAATGTGAGAAAAAGGGGAGCAGCATCCTGTGCCAACAGCCAGGAGGGGAGAGCAAATCCTGGCTGGGGGGCTCCATGCCATGCTTGCTGCCTCAGCTCACTCAAAGGATCAATTGTGATCAATTCCCCTGTGGCAGGGTGAGAGCCAGGACAGGGCAGGAGCAGGAGGTACCTGGTAAAGCAGGTGTTTTCCAGCTGGCAGGGTTTGGAGCATTCCAGAAGTGTATTAAAGGAATGGCTGGAGCAGTCACCAAGCTGTTAGCAGTGGGAGAGGAGAGACTGTGTCTGGCTTCAGAAGATGGAACAGGGCAGGTACAAAATTTTCCTCCAGCAGCCCAAGAAATCAACCATCACAGGCCCCGAGGAGGCATCCCAGAGCTGAAACCCCCCAGAAAGGATCTGTCATGACCAAGCTCATCTGCTCATGCTTGTGACAGCCTGAGGGATAGGGAGAAGCAGTGGCACATCCTGGGTGTTGAACAGCTTTGGACAATGATGTGACAGATTTGAGGTGGGGCTTGTAAGGGGATCTAGAAAACGTGATAAGAAGTAGTTGATGAGCCATATTCCAAGAGCAGAGATGGATGGCTGATGGGTTGTCAATGGCCAGTGGGCAATGGGATGTGCTCCTTCCCATCAAAGGCCTCAGTGATGAGCACAAAAGAATGCGAGGATGCCTGATCAATTCATGGATGACATCACACTGCAAGTGTGTTGGAGGACCAGGCAAGAATTCAAATGAACTTGTCAGAGCTGAAGTGGAAGAAGCAGCTGAAAGCAGCCTCCAGCTCGAGGACAGGGTGAGCCCTGGGCTCAGAGTGATCGCCGTGGGTGTGTGGGCTGGGGAACCACGGCTCGGGAGCAGTTCTGCAAAATCCATCCCAGAGTCACACCAGCCCACAGGCTGCATGTGAGTCAACATCATCGTCACGGCATGAGGAAAGCAACTGCATCAGCCTGGGCTGGACAGAGAGGAAGAAGAAAGGAGAAGCAATCCTTCCCATCTGCTCTGGGCCATGGCCCCATGTACACTTTGGGGTGTTCCATCTCCAGAGCCTGCAAGGAATGCAAGGGGGACCTTGGGCTGGTCAGTCTGGAAAATAGAAGACACTTGAGGTTGGCCTTTGAGGCACAGAAACAACAGCTGAATGAGCCTCTGTGCCCATGGTGGACACTGACCATTGCTGAGGCTGAAGAGCAAAAAGCCCTCGGGGGAAGGGAAGGTGCCAAGAGAAGTTGTGTAACCTTGACAAGGAGCTGGATTTGATGGAAAGAAATTTCCCCTGGGAGTGTGTTCTGGGGCCAGGTGGATTTCAAGGCTTGGGAGCTTTCACAAAGCCAGGCTCAGTCTTCCTCCTCTTTTCCTTTCATAGTTTTCTGAGCTTTCAAGCAGATTCATTCAGCTGGGAGGCCTGGCCTCTCTGTTCTGCTTTGCCACATGCTCTTGGGGAGAAGCATCAGGGAGAGAGGGAGTTTGTTTAGAAGAGGTAGAACACAGAAATACTTGAAATCTAATGGTCATGGTGTCCAAGACCCTGCAGAATTCAGCCCTACTCTGCCATGACAAGCTGTTATCTTCCAGCAGAGGAGGCAGCATAGAGCTAATTAATTGCATGATATGGAAAATTCTGAATAAAGAGACTTTCACTCTCTGCTTATGGCCCCAGCCTCATGTGTGGCTGATCCTCAGGGTCTTACTGGCCCCACAGAGTTGTTCCCATAAAATCATTAAGGCTGGAAAAGATCATCAAGTCCAACCTTTACCAGATGCCACCTTATCAACCAGACCACAGCACTAAGGGCCATCACACTGTGTCAATGGAACAGCCACCACATGTCACCGATCCGGGACAGCAGCAGCCACAAAACCACAAGCAGCTGCACCCAGGAGCATCTTCCCTTGCAGGTTGTTTCAGATCACTGATTTAACCCATCTCCTGGTGACACAGAGAAGCCAAACCCCATGGTGAAATCCAAACAGCTTGATCCCAAAACACCCCAGTGTCAGCTGGAGCAGGCAGGGATCCTGTGGGGACCATTTGTGCTGTTGGCATCTCAGCTCTGAAAGCCAAGGCAACGGTCCCTTTGGGGACTGAACCTCCTGCACTGCAGGGTGCAGGTGCAGAGGGGAGTTCCTGTAGGGATCCACACCCTGCTCTCACCTTTAGGACAAAGGTGTTGTCTTTGTCAGGCATCTCCAGGGGCATGGTGGTGCGCACCTCGATGATGGCCGACAGCGAGATGCTCACCTTAAAAAAGAAAGCCTGAGAAAAAAAAAAAAAAAAAAAAAAAAAAAAAAAAAAAAAAAAAAAAAAAAAAAAAAAAAAAAAAAAAAAAAAAAAAAAAAAACAAAGAAAATAAATTAAAAGAAATCAATGAATTAAAAAAAAAAGTCACTCAATTGAATCAAACTGTCCCTGGGGACAATGCAGCAGGGCTCTCAGAGGCAAGATCAGCTCAGCCTGTATGGTTATTACAGAGGGGGAATAAACAGCATTGATTTCCCTCCCGTGCCTGATAACTCTGAGCTCTGTGAATTAAACCAAGAGGAGGCCCAGTGGAAGGCAGGGAGGTGCTTTTAACTGCCAAACCACCCTCCTTGCTCCAGTGCAGGCTGCTGTGCCAGCTCTGCCAACACCACTTAATTTCTCTTCATTTTCAACCCTCTCCCGATGGAGAGAGCTGTGCTGTCTGATGGGGGGAGCTTCCCATGCAGGAAGCAGCTTCGTTTCTCCAGCACAGGAGCAGAATTTCAACCAAGCAGCTACAGTGCAGCAGCCTCAGCCATGCAGGGAATTTTAATTACATTAAAATCAAGAAAAATGAATTTCCCCCAGGGCCCCTGGCACCGCCGGAGCCTCGGTGGGGAGGCAAGACCCGGTGCCTCCCACTCCAAGTGTTTGCTGAGCAACAAATTCCCCAGATATTTGTTTTAATTATAACAAATCCCCACAAAGGAGCTTGCAGAGCTGCTCTCCAGGGCTGGTCCCCTCCAGGGGTCTGGGATTTGGAGCACTGCAGCTGCAGGAAGCAGAGATGAGATTTAGTCACCACAACCTGCGCCTGGTGCCTTGGATGCAGTGGGTGGGATGAGGCCAGCAAGGAGCTCCAGGCTGCAAGTTACCAATAACGGGCTCAGTTCCCATTTTTATTGGGAAATAAAAATAAATAAATCCAAGACAGAACAGAAACTGCTTTTTCCCTTGCAGGATGTTTCGTTTCTGCCAGCCCCAGTGCTGCCTGCAGACACGTCTCAGAAGGCTCTGCCCATCCCTGGGGAATTTTTCCATCTCGGTGTTTGCACAGGAGAAGGTCAGAAAGGAAGCAGCAGCTGCTTCGAAAGGAAGGGAAACAAGGTGATAATTCAGCCCTGAGCCAGAGAAGGGTCTTAGAATCACAGGATGGTTTGGGTTGGAAGGGACCTTAAAGATCACTTCATTCCAACCCTCTCCTCTCCAGGAGGGCTCTTCCCTTTAAAGGTTTAAAGACATGGCCACAGTTTTTGTAGGGTCTATGTGAAAACAAAGCTGTGGGCTGCTGAAGCAAAAAGCAGTTTTTTTCCAGCTGTGCCAGACTGGTGCCACTTTTACATTTGCCAGATGGAAAGCAAGATGGGATGAGAGGAGAAAGCTGTAAACCAAAGTGGGGTGTGATTATAACAGAAGAGCAGACAATGTTCATAAAAGTTGCCATAAAATAATTTCAAAATTGATTTTTAGAGGCAAATCAAGATACGCTAAAAAAGGAATCCCTCTATGAGCTCCCTCTTAAATGTTTTAAGAGCAGCAGCTGTTCCATTTTAACCCAAGTTTATTTTCTCTTTGGTGCAGCTGACAAACCAGGCTTCATCAGATCCTCCATCCACGGAATCACAGAATGGGTTGGAAGGAACCCTTTTCCACCCCCTGCCATGGGCAGGGACACCTTCCATTAGCCCAGGTTGCTCCAAGCCCTGTCCAACCTGGCCTTGGGCACTTCCAGTGATCCAGGGGCAGCCACAGCTTCTCTGGATAACCTGTGCCAGGGCCTCAGCACTCTCACAGGGAAGAATTACTTCCCAATGTCCCACCCATCCCTATTCTCTTTCAATTTAAAGCCATTTCCCCCTGTCTTGTCACTCCATGCCTTTGTTAGATGTCCCTCTCCAGCTCTCCCATAGGCTCCCTAGTGGGCACCATGGACATTGGGGTTGTTTCCTTCCAGCCAGGACCCTGGGGAAGCTCTCAGTCCAGCTCAGAGCAATGCCCACCATCCATACCCATGCTGAGCTGCTCTCCAGAGAGATGCATTTGAGTTTAAACTCATGTTTTATATTTTCTCAAAAGGTGAGAGGCACAGACCAACACCAAGAGTGCAAGGTTCATTTTGGCCTGCAGGTTGGATGGTTTCAAGCACATTTTCCCATCCATTTGCACCTCAGCCACGCAGTACCAGATCTCCCTCCGGACCAGAGCTGGATTTCAGCCTAGCTCAGCAGTGGAAACAAAAAAAAAAAACCAAGCAATGCCCCACTGCTGCTTCAATTTCTCAAAAAAACAACGGTGGCCATAAGCCAGGGCTTACCTTTGGAGGGACATAAAACTCCAGGAGGAACCTCTCTCCTTCCACCTTCACCGCTTTCCGGAGCAGGAGGCGGCACTTCTGCCACTGCGAGCTCCCCACACAGTTCGTGTCATCGGCCACCATGTAGCGCAGCGTCCCCTCCCTCTGGATGTCCACCAGCTCCACCTTGGACGAGGGCACCTTGGACAGGCGCAGCTTGTGTGTCCATTTCTCCCGAGGGTCCCCAGGCTCCTTGCCCCCGGCCGGCCACGGCTCCCTGTCGGCTCTGCGGCCGCCCAGAGCGGCCTCGGCGCCCGGCTCCGGAGAGGATTTGCGGTGCCACATCTCCTTCATGCCATCCACCACGCACAGGCTCATGTTCCTCAGGGAGAAGCCTTTCTTGAACTTGGGCTTGGCAGCGGCGTGGATGGAGACGTCCTCCGAGCTGCGGGACTGCCCGTAGGAGGAGACCTTGTGAGCCTGCACCTGCTGGGCTGGGGTCAGGTACCGGCTGGCGCCCAGCGGGGCGTCCATGCTGTCCAGAGACTCCGTGGACGTCTCCTCCTTCCTCGGGGTGACCTCCCGCCCGTAGGGGACGTGGCAGTTCTGCAGCCCCACGAAGGGCACGATGTTGTACTTGGTGGGCGAGTCGGACACGAACACCCGGCTGACCTCCAGGCTGAAGATGTCCAGGAAGTTGGCGGTGAAATGGTGGGAGAAGGAGGTCTCTGCCCCGGGGGTGTCGTAGTGGGGGTTCTCCTTCAGGAACTGGCAGAACTTCTGGGCGAAGTCCACGGCGGCTGCCTGGGCGTGCAGCTTGCAGAACTCCCTCCAGTCGGGGAGCGGGGAGGAGGGCTCCTGGCACAGGGCATCGCCGTTCATGGCTGCTCCATTCCACCTGCCGGCGGGCTGTGGGACAGGGACACGGCCTGAGTGTGGCACGGACACGGACAACCCATCCCTTCCCCCAAAATCAGGGACATGAACAACCCATCCTGTCCCCCAAAAGAGGGACAAGGACAACCCATCCTGTCCCCCAAAATCAGGGACACGGACAACCCATCCCATCCCCCAAAAACAGGGACACGGACAACCCATCCCGTCTCCCAAAAACAGGGACACAGAAAACCCATCCTGTCCCCCAAAAACAGGGACACAGAAAACCCAGCCTGTCCCCCAAAAACAGGGACACAGAAAACCCAGCCTGTCCCCCAAAAACAGGGACATGGACAACCGAGCCTGTCCCCCAAAAACAGGGACATGGACAACCCAGCCTGTCCCCTGACAACCCATCCTGTCCCCCAAAAACAGGGACACAGACAAGCCATCCTGTCCCCCACAAATGGGGACATGGACAACCCAGCCTGCCCCCCAAACAGGAGCATGAACATGGACATCAACCCTGATCCCCAAAATGGAGGTCAGCCCTTGCCATGATGCCAGAGCTGATCTGCAGTTCCAGTGCAAAGGAAAAGTGTCTGTGTTGCTCTCTCTCCACCACATCCACTAGGAAAAAATCTTGGCCCTGGCAGCAGCCATAAATTGTACTTATTTTACCATTATGACCATGCAAAAGCTTTATTGATTTCTCATGAAACCGCTAAGGAGTCCCCGAGCGGAGAAGCCCAGGGGCGTTTGCCTGCAGGATTCCTCTCACTCTGTGTCTGCCTGGGCTTGGCACAGCTCTCCACAGGGGCAGGGAGCACTGGAGTCCTGGAAGTATCCACCCAGGGCAGCACGCTCCCCCTGCACCCAGCAGCTGGTCCCTCTCTTTCTCTCCAGTCTCTATTTCTGCTCTCATCCTTTGCCACATCAATTTTGGGATTTCACCCTCCCCTCTGAGCATCAGCTGACAGATAACCCAGGACAGGTCCTCAGCAGAGGACAATGAGCAGGTGGGCTACAGGGGGAAAAGGAACAGAAGCCAGACCCAGGAGCACACCAGAAGCTGACAGGAGTGACAGAGCAGACCTGTGAGCCTTGGGAGAAGCACCACTTTGCCCAACCTCCACACTGGTCCTTCTCCCAGTGGCTGTGAGACTAGCAGGGTATGTGTACAGTCCAGCTTGGTGCTCATGTTGCACTTCCCAAATCTCTACCTGGCAGCATGAACATCCTCCTCCGGGGGACCCCAGCAGCGACTGCATCTCAAAAATCACCTCTCAGTGCCAAAACTGCTCATGGCTGCTGGTGCTGGTGGGCCTTGGCTGGGGCACTGCTGAGCCCATGACCCCAAACACCTGGTCCCTGTGTCCAGACACCTTCCTTCCTCCATTCCAAGGGCAGCAGGTTGGCAAATCCACCTCAGCTGGCTCAAACACTGAGCCCAAGGGTGCCTGTGGCTGCCCTGCTCCAGGCAGGGATTGTGCCTGTGGGATCCAGTTCTGGAAGGGCAGGACAGTTCCCCCGGGTTTTGCTGTTCTCCATTGACAGAGCAGCTCTTTCCCTGGATTTTGCTGCTCTCCATTCACACAGCAGCTCTTTTGCTGGCGAGGGATTACTCCTGCTAATAAATCACGCGCCGTACCCCGCCAGCAGCTTACACGGCCAGTAATTAATTACTGCTCGGATGAACGGCACAAGCCACGGGATCGGGACAGGCACTGGGGACTGGCATAACCTGCTCCTTATCCTCCAGACCCCAGGCAGGACTGAGCCCTGAAGGCTGGGATTCAGAGCAGCAGCTGCAGCCAGGAGCTGGTTGCCAAATCCTCAGCACATCCCTATGGAGATGAGTTCTCTGGGAGCACCATCCCAGAAAGTGGCTCTCAACACACCCCCCCAAACATAGAGAGACTCACACAGGCAACACAATCCCACCAGAAACATGACACATGTGGCATTTCCTCACCATTTTTCAGCCCAGTGCCCTGGCTGTGCCAAGGAGGCACTGAGGACAGGTCACACACAGGCCTGCACTAGCTCCTCACATCCCACAACATCAGCAGAACTCCAGCTCCTGCAGAAATCCCTGGCAAAGCTCTCCCCAGCATCACAGGGCTTTCCCAGAGACCTGAGCAGGGAGCCATGCCAGCTGGGAAAAAACCCATCCCTGCAGTTTAGGAGCAGTGTCTGAATTTCCCCAAGAAACATCAGCAAAGCAGCAGAAAAGGCAAAGCCGTTTGTTCATTCGTTACCCGCCCAGCAAATGAAATTCCTAATTATCCATCCATCACCAAGCAGAGGATTTAAAGACTCTGCCCTTTGAATTGAAAATTCACAACCCCAGCTCTGCCATGGCCCAGGAGCTGCCCTGGCACCAGGCCACGGGCCAGGGGTATTTGGGCTCAGGGAGAAAAGGGAGATTAAAAGGAATCTCCTGCTGCCAATCCAAGCAGTCACAGCAAGAGCAAGGGAGAGGGAAAGGGTGAAAGGGGAAAAGAGCAGCAAGGGACTTGTGGGGGTAAGAAAAAGCCCCTCAGTGATGGGTTTATTTGCATCTTCCTGGGGTCTTGACCCCCAGGGTCTTTGCTGGTTTCCCTCCCATGAATTTGGGGGAAAACACAGGTCCCCGTCCCTCTCTCCAGGAGGGACTGGTGCTCAGGGCCTGCCTGTTTGAAACCAAGGGGATAGCAAGCTAACAGACTCTGAGAGGTTAAGGGAATAAAAAGAAGAAGAAGGAAAAAAAAGGCACTTCAGAAAAGAAAGAGGCCCAAACAAAAAGCCTCAAGGAGACCCAGGCATGGCAGCCGGGCTCGGAGACGCGCACGCAGAGGCATCACAGCATCTTCCTTTCATCTGCATGGGGATGACAGACTTTAAAAGGCCAATTTATAAAAATGAAGCCTAGAGGAGAGACATCTGGCAGGTCTGAGGAGGCGGCGGCAGGGATTACTATCCCTGTGTCACATATCCAACCCCCCCTGCCCGGAGCACAGCCAGGAGCCCCAGCCAGGATCCAACAGCACGGGCTGGGAGTCAGTGGGGTGGTTTAAGGGCAGCCCCTGGGAGTGCAGAGCCATCCCCGCCCCTGATTCACCTGATTTCTGCAGGAAGCAGGCTCCCAATTATCTGTGTAGATTTACCTTTAATCTGGATGCCTGCACTCCCCTCCATACCAACAGCTCTGCCCCACTTCTTGAAATAACTTGTCATGCCACAGACAGCATCCCCGGGCAGAGCGGTGGAAGTGGAGACGAAAATAAGCTCACGATGAAAATAAGCAGCAAAATCTGCAACTGCTTTTTGGAAAGGGCCATCCCCTGCCAGCCCAGCTTCCTGAGGGCTGCAGCGCAGTCCAGGCACCTTTCTAAGGAGCCAGATCCCTTTGGAAGTGCCATCAGCCCACTCCAGAACTGGCTCAAGGGCCACAGCCTTGAGTCCCTGGCCTGGGTGATGCAAGAGGGCAGAAAAATAAATATATAAAATGGGGTGGTTTGTTGTCAGGAAGAAGCCATGGAGTGGCAGCCACAGCATAAGGTTAGTGACAGGCTCCTAACCCACCTGTACGAGTCCCCAAACTCCTCCCAGGGCAGAGCTGTGCCTGCTGCCTCTGTCATTTGGGAAACTGAGGCAAAACTTGAGAAGATAAAAATAAAGATCTTCTGTGGTTTGCCAGGTGGAAACATAGGCTGGGATGACAGGTGGGAGCCAGCTGCTGGCAGTGATTTGGGACACCTCTCCCACCAAGGTGTGCTGAGGCATCCCCTGCTCCGGGGAGGAGGGGGCACACAGAATACTCTGAAAGTCGAAGCAAAGCTACTGACCTCAAGAAGAAACGAAATTTAAACTGTCAGCAGAAGCGCAGGAGACCATAAAAAAACAACTCCCCGCTGAAGCAGGAGTCAGGGAGCAACAACAAAGCCACTGGGATTTGCTGAACCAGAGGCGTGGGGAGGAACCAGCATCTAATGAGGTGTAAATAACCCGAATGCGCAAACCCGGTCATGGGATGCCCAGCACGGCCGGCTCTGATGGCTTTATTTAAGGAAACAACCCTAATAAAGAGATGTTTCCCTTCCGCCCAGCACAGCCAGGCTGGGACAAAGTGATCCGAAACTCAGTGGGGGGAAAGCAGCGTCTGCTGGAGGTTGTGAGCAGCAAGCTGAATCCCTCCATCCATCCATCCATCCATCCATCCATCCATCCATCCATCCATCCATCCAAAGGAAAAGGCGGCGCAGGAGGCAAAGCCTGGCTGCTGGACAAGGAGATCCCAGGCCAGCAAGGCTGCTGGCTTTCCAGCAAGATCGATGCCACTCAAAGCTGCAGCTGGTCACCCCAATCCCGCGGGAATGACGTGAGGAAAGCCAGGCACCTGCTGCCCCAGGAAAGCGCCTGACCGAGCGTGCCGTGCCAGAGGAGATCCCCGAGTCACGAGCAGGGCGCGGAGCAAGGCGATACCCCCGGCCCCCGAGGGATGCTGCTGGCACACGGCAGCTCCCGGGGAGCCTGGCCACAGGGACAGCGGCCAAAGGCGGCCAGGGGACACAGCAGCACGGCCGGACCGCCGGCAGGACACAGGCAGGGCCACCATCCCGGTCCTGCTGTGCAAGCACAGTGGGGTGAGGCGCGCTAGGAGCTGCTTCCCCACATTGCACAGCTGAGACCAAGTGACCTCCCTCTGTCACCTCCAGGAGCCTTCCCAGCCCTCGAGCTTTAGCAGAGGCTGAGCAGAGGGAGAGAAAACCATAGGGAACAAAAGCAGAAGCCACCTCCTGCTTTCACACCCCCCTGGACCCTTGACCACAGCCCTGGCATGGGAGAAGCTGATTACTCTCCATGCACTATTTATACTATTGTGACCTTAAATCAGACTGCCTGTCTGAACCAGATAGAAATGGAAATGTTCCTCTCATTTACTGGCCATCCCACTAAAATATTAATTGCACAGCATTTTGGCCTCCAATTTTATAGTCAAACCACCTGCCTTGAACAAACCCCTCAGCAGGAGCATGCTTTAACTTCCTGCCCAAAGGCAACTTCAGGGTCTACCTGTCACCTGCAGCTTAGAAAACATTTTTCTGGAGTGAAAATGCTCCTTGTGTTTTTTTTCTCCTGCACAGTGAGGGGTCCCACTGGCCAGCCCAGCTCTTAAAAAGGATGACCCAAAGCACCAGTACTGCTGGGTGGACAGGACAAGGTTTTGGGTGGAGGTGCTGATGGGACACATCTTCAAAATAAAAAATGAACCTTTCCTTCTCCTGCACATAAGGGTGTCCCCACAGCTCTGTGTGATATCCTGATTCCAACCCCACAGGAACCAATGCTCCTGAAAATGAGCAGATGGGCCCAAGGTAACCCCCAGTAAAACCTGAGATTTTCTCCATTTCCCTTTCCCATTTTCTCTGACCATACTACAGGGTTGTTCCTCTCCCTCCCCTCCAAAATCCCACACGGTGGATGTTGTACTTCCTGTGCTGACAGCTGCTGGAAAATAAAGACAAGTTCATAGATAAGATCCACTGGATCTTAGATAATCTTTTCCCTGAGAAATTCCATCCAGCTTGCAGGGAGCGACTTTGTCAGCCCATGCACAGGGCTGGAGCATCATCCAAGCCACTCAACCCACTGGGTACCTGCTGGTGTTGTGGGACCTGGGGGACACCTCAGCACCCCAGGGTGCAGTGACAGTGATCAGGAAAGCTTTGGTGCATCTGGGCATCATGAATGCCTCCTGGGGCTTGGAGGCTGTGTCTGGGAATAAAGCAGAGACACCCCCTTCAATGCCCCAGAGAAAAAGCTATTGGGGAAAAAAAAAATAAAATTCAAGCCCCAGAGCTTTAGGTGAAGGATGTCAGATGCTGTTGTCCATTCCCCCTCATTTGGATTCCACCTCACGTGCCTGTCTCCAGCCAGAGAGCTTCCCACAGAAAAAACTACCCAGTCCAAAGTCTATTTTTAACCACCACAATAGCAGAGCCTCCCCCGAGGAGCAGCAGAAGCCCTGTCCCCAACCAAGCAATCTCACATTTCCCTCGCTAAGCCTCGATTTCCTTCCGGCCCTCAGCCCACAACAAAACCCTCCTCCTCCTCTCGCCTTCCCATCCTTGGAAAACTATTTGCACATCCATCCATCCCCCTCCAGGCTGGCGTGCTGTGGGTGCAGTGTCCTGCACACCTGTTACACATTAACCACTGACCTGGTACCTGTGGGCAGACCCTTCCTGCACTCAGAAATACCAAACAGCAGCAGCAGCATTCATCTGATTCATCTGCTCAGCCCCCTCCCCTGCATGCACCCAAAACTCTGGGGATTTAAAGGAAAAGCCCTGCAACATCAACCCAGCTGCACTTCCCAAAGCAAGTGCAAACTCTTTAGAAGAGATTACTCCTGCCCTGGGGATTGTTGTGCCATGGAGGAGCTCTTTGGGGGTTTTGGGGGAGAGAGAGCTGAGTGGACACTCAGCAAAGCAAATCCTGACGGATACAGCACAATCATCACTGGGGGATCCCCCATCATTATGTCAGTGAAACCCCTAAGATTGTTTTTCAATTACAGCACATAATAAACATGAGATAAAGTTACACAGTTGTGTAGGAAATTTTCTTATTATGTTTTTTTTTTTTTTTTTACGTTGCAGATCTAATTCCCCACACACATCACTGTCTCATACCCGCCTGCAAACAGCCTTAAACTGCTGCCTAATGGTATCTGAGCTGGGGAAATTCAATTCTACCCAGCGCCTCACCCAGGACTGCTACAATCACTGCTAATTGCTTAAGTGGTGTATTAAGCAAAATAAAAATTCCAGTGGGCTTTGAACCCACCCCCCCCCAACCAGATGATGCCAAAACACCCTGTTACAGCTGCCAACCCTGGCTGGAGATCCAACCTCAAATATCCTTTATCTCTTCTCTGTGCAGGGATGCTCCTGGGCAGGCAGAGCTTCATACCCAGCAGGGCCATGACCAGGGCAGAGGGATTCACAGGTTGTGTCTGACTTTGCCACCCCTCTTGCCAGGGTTCTGGGGTACCATGGCAGCCCCCCTGCTGCCCCAGGGTCCAAATGCTGTCTGGACCCAGTGAAGCAGGGCACAAACAGATCCCCAGTGGGACCCTGGGGTGGAGGCACTGGGTCCCTCTCCTGTCCCCTCACCAGTGGGTGTGAATGGATGTGGGGGTCCGGTCAAGTCTCATCTCAAACCCAGACCCTGCATGAGAGCAAGCAGATTCTCCAAGCCCTTCTGATTTTCCCTTTAGCAAAAATCAGGTGTGGGATGCAGTCTTCCCTTTAGGCATGTTCTCTCCTCCTCTCCACCGTGATGGAGCCAGCTGGGACTGAATTTCTGGGGGCACACTGCCTGCACAAGGAAGTGGATCACTGAGCCAGGGACAAGTCTCCAAACATACCCCAGCACCTCAGTGGCATCCATGGGCTGGGAAAGCAGCTGAGGTCAAGTGAGGGCACCCACAGCAGCAGGGGAATGATGCAGGAACCTCGGGGCTGGAAGCACTGCCCTGGGGCACCCCAGCCAGCCTGAGTCAGCAGGGCCAGCAGATGTGCAACCATCATCTGGTTTCTCTGCTTCTGCTGGGAAGAAGAGGAGGAAGAGGAAAGGCACTAGCCAGAAACATCCTCATCTTGAAGACATGGGTGTTCTGCCTCCAAGGAGGAAGGACAAGAGGAGGCTGGACAAGACCACGCTGCAACGAGGGTGCTCACAGTCCAGGAGAAGAGGGGACAGACCTGATGGCCCAGGGGATCAGCCAGAAGAGGTGGCCCTGCAGTCAAGCAGCCACTGCAGCCCTGAACCAGCTGAGGAACTCCCATGATTTTAACCCCACAGCCTTGACCAGGCAGGGATGGGACCAGGGCTGACACCCTCCTCGATGGCACGGGGGTCACTGAGCTGGCTGAGACAGCAGGCAGGGTAGGCAAACCTGTGTGCTCCCCAGGCTGGAGCAGAGAGGATTATGCAGCTTTTTTAAGGAAACAGTGGTAGCCCTGGGCTCCTCTGCTGTGTTACAGTGATGGTGAGACACTGGGAAATACCACTGAAGGGCACAGAGGAAGGTCCAAGGGCACTTGCCATCCCATCCGAGCAGATCTCCTGGCAGCACGCACCCACCCATCTGTACAAATGTGCCCTATCCCCAGGGAAGGGGGGCTGAGCAAGAGGCTGTGTGGTTTAGGAGGACGATTCCTATTTAGAACGGCATCCCCAGATATCCATGGTCCTTCCTCACTCTCTCAACAACCAAACCAAAAATGCTTATGAAGGGGAGTTCTGAGTAATCATAGAATCATTTCTCTTGGAAAAGACATGCAAAATCACCCAATCCAACCATTCCTCCAGCATTGCCCAGGCCTCCACTAACCCATGTCCCCTAGTGCCACATTCACACCTCTGTTAAATCCTGCAGAGATGGTGACTCCACCACTGCCCTGGGCAGCCTGTGACAAGCCTTTCAGCGAAGAGATTTTTCCTAATATCTAACTAAACCTCCCCCGGCATAACTTGGGGCCATTTCCTCTTGTCTAGTCAGCTGTACCTGGCTACAACTTCCTTTCAGGCACTTGTAGAAAGAGAGAAGGTCCCTCCTGAGCCTCCTTTCCCCAGGCTGAGCTCCCCCAGCTGCTCCTCATCCACTCAGACACAGGAGCAGGGCCCGGGGGGATTTTGGGCAGGGTGCTGGCGGGACAGGGACATTTTACCTCCTTTCCCGTTCCAGTTCACAAGATCCCCGAAGCACCGGCAGCGTGGCTCTTGCAGGTCAAATGCATAACTTCAACCGATCGATTTCCACACTGGAAGGAAGTACCAGAGCGACTTGGAGGGAGGGACCTGCAAGGCAAAGGTTCAGGCTGTCAATCCCCGGCGGCAGAGCGATATCCCCAGGCACATCTCACCTCCCCCAAGCCACAGTCCAGCAGGGCTCCAGCCTGCCTCCGCCAAAACCAGAAACGAGCAGAAGGGCCGGGCAGAAAGTCCCCCACGCCTGCCAGGGCCCTTCCCGCGGGGCTGGGGCAGCTCGGCAGCCGCGGCTGTCCCGGCCCGCGGGGACACCACGGCCGGGGGCACCGGGGCCGCCGCGGCCCCTCCGGAGCAGCCTGCAAAGCCAGGCAGACAACACCGCCGAAAATGCGGGAGCATCCGTGCGGGGGGCTGCGCGCTGCCCGTGCCCCCCGCCGGCTCCGCCACCCCCAAACCGCGGGGGAAACCCACCCGAGGCTGCAGCCGCCATCCCCGGGGGAAACCCGCATCCCCGGGGGAACCCGCATCCCCGGGGCAGCCCCCCGGGCCGGCGGAGCGCAGCCCCCCACCCCCGGGCCGAGCCGGGTCTGCCCCATCCCCGCCCGCCGCCCCGCGGGCCCGGGGCCGCCGAGCGGCGGCGATGCTCACCGGGAACGGGGGCCGGCCCAGCCGGGGTGGGGGCGGCCCGGGGACCCTCCCGACCGCGCCGCAGCGCCGGGGGGCGGGAGCCTCCCCCGGGCGGGGGATCCGCTGCGGAGCGGGGCGGGATAACCGCGGGTAAACACCCGGTGCCGGTACCGGAGGATGCGCTCGCCCGCCCCGCTCGCTGCTCGGTTCGCTGCTCGGTTCGCGGCTCGGCTCGGCTCGGCTCTGCCCGGCCCGGCCGCCCCCCGCCCCGCCGGCAGCGCCGCCCCCCGCGCCGCCCCCGCCGCCTTAAAGGGCCCGCCCGGCCCCGCCGCCCCCGCCGCGGGCGGAGCGCGGCTGCCGCGGACAACGAGCGGCGCCCCGAATCCTCCCAGGGCTCCCCAGATCCTCAGGAAGAGCCCGCGATCCTCGGGTGGGCTCCCCAGCCCTGCCGTGGGTACAGCAAATCCGCGGGCAGCACCCGAGATTTTCAAGGTGCCGAGTCTGCAGGTCCCCCAAGATGCACAAATGCTGGCTGTGAAGAGGCTGCAGCCTTTCCTCACCCCGTCTATCACCCAGCGTTTGTCCTTGCAGTGCCCGGGAGAGGGGATTGGGGTGATCCCCCCACATCCACATTCCCAGGGGGCACAAGGCACGGAGGTGGGACTGGAGTGGCTCCAAGGGGAGTTTTGGGGTCTGGACCCAGTGCCCGCCTTTGTCATGCTGCTGATGCGGTTTGGGGCACATCTCAGAGCACTTTCCCTGCCAGGGGGTTCAGGACAGACTGAACCCCACAACAGGGTGGGTCAGGATGGACCAAGCCCCAGGACAGGGGAACTGAAGCCCAGAGAGGTTTAAGGGATGGAGTTGGGGGTCACAATGCCTCTGGGACCCCGCACAGCACCCCTCAGTCTCCCCATGGCGTGTCCACGGGCAGATGAGTCACCATAAAGAAAAAGAAAAAAAAAAAAAAAAAAAAAAAAAAAAAAAAAAGACAGAAAATAAAAAAGGATTTGCAGGAGGAACAAATCCTTTTTACTTCTGTGAAGCACCTGTAGGATTAAGACAATGCTGGTTATATAAGGGATGGAGAAGGGTGGGTTTTATCATTATTGCTATTATTAATATTTATTTATTAAGCTTCCTCACCGTCCCATTACCCTCATGGGTGTATTCTGGGGAGATCTGGGGAGAGAAGGAGGAGATTTATTGTAGGGCTGCTGCAGAGTCATGCACCATTTGCTTTTTCTTCCCCCAAAGCAGCAGGGGCCAAAGTGGACAGTGCAAAAGCACTGCTTAGGTGGCACAGCTGGGACAGGGACTCTTGATTTTCTCCATTATGGCTGGTTTGTGATGATTTTGGGTGGATTCTCTCCCTCCTGCTTCTGGCTGGTCACATTTTCAAGGCCAGGTTGGGCAGGGCTTGGAGCAACCTGGTCTGGTAGAAGGTGTCCGTGCCAATGGCAGGGGCTAGAATGAGATGAGCTTTAAGGTTCCTCCAACCTAAACCATTAAATGTTTCTGGCATTCTATTATTCCCTTCCCAGGGGCACTCTGGGGGTGAATGGATGCTCCCAGAGAGGCTCAGAGCAGGTGACCCTGAGCCACCCACCTTCACCCACCTCCCACAGCAGCTGACAACGTGTTTCTACTCCCCCCCCTTCCCCCTGCCTCCTCCTCCTCAGAGCCTCTCTCCCATTCATATCCATTTTTAAAGAAAACACCCAATCAATAGTCTCTCAGGCTGGAATTTCATTAAGGTTTTCATTGCACTCGCTATCGATTGGCAGCAGAGCTGGGAGCTGCACGGAGCTGATGCTGTGCCCTGCCTGCTCTGGGACCACCCAGGCCATCCTAAAGGGAAAGGGCCATGCAGAGGATGTGGCTGCCCCCATGCAGGCAGCAGAAAGCCCAGCACCCCAGCTTTTACTAACCCCTAGATTTTATCACTAAGAGCAAAACCAGTAGCCCTGGGAAGGGCTGGGATGCTGGGATTTCTTTCATGAACCAAAACAATTGCTCTGTGATTGCAAAGGCTTTGGTACACAACAGGCTCTCTCCTGCCTTCCCTCCATGGGATGCTGCTTGTTTCAGGATGTGTAAAACCAGGCTGGAATGCCTGGCCTTGCTCCCATCAAACACGGGGGCTGCAAGTAAAGAACCCCCCAGAGCTCTGAGTGTGGGAGGGCAGGGTTTGCTCCGCTGCTGGTCGGTCACTTGGAAAATCAAGTGAAAAATCCCAACTTCTAAAAGGGCTCTGTGGGCTAATTTTAGGTCTGGGCCTTGACCAGAGAGATTAACAATAATTGCCAGGGTGAAAGTTTAACTTCTCCCACGACTTTTCTCAGCAATCCCCAAGGAACCGCGTTCTGCTGTGCAAAGAGCATCCCTGGGCCAGCTCCCCAAATTGCCTTTTTAAGGCTTTATTTTTAAACCAAAGCCACAGGCTGCCTTCAACAGGACAAAAATCCTTCACGAGCCCCGGCCTGCAGCTGGTGGGAGCTCCTGTGGGTGGGGATGAGCTTTGGCTCAAATCCTTGTCCCCACTTTTTGGCCGTGCTCATCCCTGTGCCAGCCCCTCAGACACAGAGCAGATCCCCCATGGACACCCCTGTTCCCACTCACCCCTAAACCTTTTTAACAGCACCCACGACAGGAGCAAAGTGTAGAACCATGGCCATTCTGCTATGCTAAATGATTTAAAACTGGTGGTGAATAAACCTAATATCTGCCTGCTCCTGCCAATTCTCATTACTCCGGGACTCCCTCGGAGCGATTAGCTGCCTAAAAAAAAAAATCGCTGGAAGGAATCAAGGAGTGCTGGGGAGAGCTGCTGGCAGCATCCCGGCTGGAGCGTGGCGTGCCCTTGAAATGCTGTGCCCGGAGGCATCCGGCAGCATCCCAGCGGTGCCGGGAGCTCCGGCTCCATCCTCGGCCCGTCCCGGCCGGCCGGGGGGATGCGGGGAGCGGGGACCGCCCTGCTGTGCCCGATCATCCAGCAAAACCCCCGTGCTGCGAGGCCACAAAGCCCTGAGGGGAGGTACCGGGGTCTGTGAGCATCCCGGGAAAAGCCTGCAAGGCGAGTTGAGAGCCCAGCCATGAGCCCATTCCGTGGCAAAGCCGGGTGTGTGTGAGCTGCCAGCCAGGCAGACAGGCCCCAGGCATCTCCCGGGCTGTCACAGCTGCAAATTGTCCAGGAGCAGTCCCTAATGGGATGTCAGGGGAGGATTTATTGGAGGAAGATGTCACAGGCATGAAAGGGGGAAAGAGAGGAAACCTGGAGAAATAGTGGTTTGGGTTTGTATTTATTTGAGGAGGAGAAATTGTTTTAAAATGTGCTTTGGTGTGTTGGAGAAGGCAAACAGGCAGTGACAGCCCAGCCACGGGGCTGGAGGAGCCTTCACTGATGGGAAGACCTTGATGTGCAAATTCCTTTCTCCTCACCCTGCAACTCAGGATTTACCTTTGAGAGGGAGCAAAGCCCTTTCCTTTCAACACAAAACCCGTGTTTAATATTTCCTCTGTGACCTGGTTGAGTGATGCTCTCCCAGGATGACCTCAGAGATGGACAAGCCCAACCACAGACCAGAACAAAGCCAGACCAGCTGAATTTCCCTGGGGGAGCATGTACAAACAGAAAGGGATACAAAAACAGGACCTAAACCCATCTTCATCTTTCTGTGGGATAACCAGTGGAGTTTGGATGGAGATGGAGAGCTCCAGCTGAGGCAGGAGCTGCACTGGAGAGTGGTCAGCCAGCTCTCAGCATGAGTTCACCCCACATCCTTTCTGTGTGCACACAGCCTGTCCCTCACCAAACATCTGCTCAGGATTGTCTTCAGCAGCCTTTCAGATGGGAGGGAGTCATATTTGGGGTTGATGAGTGGGGAAGGAGTGCAATCTCACTGTCAGGTGGAAAAAAGGTTCAGGGTTTGATCCTTCTGCATCCCTGATGGTGCTGGGAGAAGGAGCGAAAAGGGGGTGTTCAGTTCTGTGTCAGCAGACACAATTCAACATTTCCCATCTTTCAGTGGCTTGTTCTGCCTAATCTTGGTGCTTCCAAGAAGGACAAGTCTCTCCTGCTGCATTTATTCATCCCAGGATAAACCTGCTGGGATGGAGCTCACCGGGCCCTCGGAATGCCACGGATCTGCACCAGCAGGATCTGGCTGTGCTCTCCCCGTGTCTCCTGGGAGCATGGCTGGAGGGAGACGGGTGCATCCCTGCCTTCTCAGCTGACCCCGTGTTGTCCTGTAATTGTATTTTATTTAAGCATGTCTTTTCTCCTGCTACAAAAAAACAAAAAAAAAAAAAAAAAAAAAAAAAACAAAACAAAAAAACCCCAAAAAACCTAGCTGAGCTGGGAGAGACCCACAAGGATCATCAAGTCCGACTCCTAACCTTGCACAGGACCATTCCCAAGAGTCCCATCCCTGTACCTGAGAGGGGATTGTCCAAACCACACCAGCTCTGAGGACACCTCCTTCCCTCCCTCGGGCCACGGCGGGGGAAGCCACCGGAGCGTGGCTCTGCTGCTGCTGCTGCTGTTCTTCGTGCTGCTGGTGCAAAGAAAAGCGATGCTCGGCCGTGCTCCAGCCCCCTCCCGGCACCTGCCGGCAGAGCTCAGGTGCGGAGCGCTGTGAGGGGCGGGCACTCCCTCACCGTTCCTTGTGCTGCTCCCACCGGAGCTGCAGAGCTGAAACTTTAGCAAAAAAACCCCCAAAAAAAAACCCCAAAACAAAACCCCAAACCGCAGCGTGTTGGCTCCTGCCTCCTCTCACCCCAGGGCTGTGCTGGCCCTGCTGGGTGACAGGTCTGTGTCTCTCCCAGGGGAACCTTCTGCACCTTCTCCTCCAAACCACCTCCTGTT